GCCTGCAGGCAGCCCACCGACACGGAGCAGCCTTAGCTGCCTTCCCCTCACACAGGGCACCCAACGGTCAGCAGGGCGGCGTGGGAGCCATCCCTGGGACCCTGGAGCAGAGCCCCCGCTGGAGCTGCGGTTCAGAGCACCAAGCGGCTAACGCAACATGAACAAGGCCCGCGTTTGTTTCCATTTGATGGATAGTTTGATGCACAGTTCAATAAGCTTCACAAGGTACATTTGATAGAATAAAGTAGCTTTATTCATCAACTTCAGCTGGCCGTATATGTGACTGCTGGTAAAGCTGATTTACTTTTTCTATTTCCTTCAGAACAGCAAATCCCTTTTCTGAGTAAACTGTCTACTTTCTGCAGTCTGTCTACAAATGGTAGCTCTCTAGAGTTAAAGCACTCCGGTAATATCCAAAATAAAGACAGCCTGAGAAGCTCTGAGTATTATTTCAACTTTGTCAATCACTGTGGTATCCAGACACAGAGCAGGGAGTTTTACGATTACAGAATTATTCATTTACTTATTTCCCATGCAGAGCACTCTGTACATTGCTGTGGTTTATCATCATTATTACCTGACAAGCATCTGTTTGTTCTTTAAAATTCTACTTCCCTTCAATACTGAGAGTACCTGAAGGTGCCATATAATATATGGTATTATTGATACCCATGCTCTACAATGAAGATACGATCTGGTTTGTTCAAATATACTGATTAACATAAGGCTTCTTATTTAGGTAATTAAAAAATGACCTGGTAGTTAAAAAATGGAATTAGGTGGTCACTACTCAGCRTTAACCAGACTCAGTCTTAAGCAGGCCTTCTATCTTATTTACAGGTTGTTATTTTCCCACATGATAGCAAGCAGAAAACCGCTCTATTAAAATTCCTGAAGAATTGCACAGGTGGGGAAACAGAGAGAAGTCCTTCACATGCTTTTAGAACAGGCAAAGGTTATATTTGTTAGGTCTAAAAACAGACCATGTGTTTCCAGCTGTCTTTATGATTGGTTGGAAATGCGGTCCTTAGTTTTAATATCTCGTACACCACTCACCAAACACCGTTGGCACGATGTCTAGGGGTATGACAAATGCAGATGGGACATGCACAAAATCATCTTTTAAATGACTGTTTCAAAATAATTAATTGTTAAATTGTTTTACTAAATKTACAGGCAAACAGAAGTTCATTCAGTTCATCTGGACTTTTTAACTATAATTATATCCAAACTGAATGAGGCAGATTTGATTGGTGAATATACAGAGAAGTTTGTATACCTTATTCTTGTTTGGGGCTTCTTGCAAAGGCAGATGGAATGCTTTTAGAAGAATCTGAGTAAGACCTGAGAAAAAGTATGGGAGCTGTGGATTCAGAGATCACACCAAAAGCTTTCCAGTGCAATTTTGCTACCTTGTTTACATTTTCCACATACAAAGAATTTATTTCATCCCTATTATTTTTGCAAATGCATAGTATCTTGCAGACAAAAACATAATCAAAGAGACATTAAACAGTATACAGACCTTCATCACTTGTTGCTTGCTGTTTAACCAGTGTCATTGGAGATCTAGCTGGGGGTTTAGTTAATGGATGACGCCAACTCTTAGATGCTTGCTTTCTTTCCATTTCTGCTGACTAAAAAGGAAAAAAATCAGAACAAATTTGGTTTTTTTCAGTCTGCAAAATTATACTACCTGTACTATCCTGCTCCATCAAATCCCTGAAGATTCACTTATTATAACAACTCCAGTACTACATAACAGTTTGCTCTTTTCAGTCTCAACTAAGCTGAGAAAAGAAGGTCTAAAAGAYTTCTAACAAATACCTTCAAGTGAACGCTTGGCTGGGACCAAGGACAGCTGGCACAAAAAGCTATGTCAGATGATGTAATGGAATGAAAACAGATTTTGTTTCCATAAAACCTAATGCAGAGATGATTCTCAGCTTTTCTCCATCCACTTGTTAACTTGAGAACAGTATCAGACCAAAAATAAATTACTATGTTCTTCCTAACTGTTATACTTCTGAAGACTGGGCCAAAATATCCATTTTTGAAACACTGTTATGAAATATGATACACACCTGTAGTTTCCTGTTAATAGCAGTTATTAAGACTGCTAACCTTTACCATACTGGTAGGCAGAGAAAATGGGAGCAGTTCAACTCTAGAGACTGAYGGTTCAAAGTAACAGGTACAGTGTCAGATTACTGGATAGCTAAAATTAGCATGAAAATACATCAACAAGTAAGCAGTAAAAATATCCTACTTTTTTAGAATGTACTGCCACTTGAACACCTCAGAAGACATTCCAACTAGCATCTGATTAAGGCCACCTGTTTTCTTAAGTGCTTTAATATGGACTAATCTCATTAGAAATATGTTCATTCGCATTTCCTTAACACATAAATATATTAACATAATGATGTAATATGCTTCACATACACTGTATGTTTCCGTGCCATCATCTTCATCCTTTTTTATAACAGGTGTTTCTCTGTTTTCCAAGGCACTTTCTGTGTTTTTCAGGTCACTGCCATCATCCTCTGTAGAGATGCTTTCCACTTTCTCTGGGTTTTCTGCTTCAGAACTATGTCCTGGTGGCGTAGGGTATGGTATGGCTGACATTGACTGATTCTGAGATTTCAAACACTCTTCCTTTCTGCATGTATGAGGAGTGGGCAGGGTCGACACACAATCTTCAAGTTTAGGTGGATGCTCACTGGAATCTCTCTTGTCCTCATCTTCACTATTTTTTTTCTCTGTTGCTGGAACAGGAGTGGAGAATGATTCTGCACAGATACCTCCTATAGATCAAGAATATTTTTGTTAATAAATATTAATTTATATTACTTTATATTTATATGTTTACATATTAAATATCCTTAATATTATATTTAATGTCACAACAATCTGGATTATCAAATTCAAAGCTTGTTTCTTCATTTCTAAAGATTTCTAAATCTTATGTCAAAAGTGATTATCCTATCACATTAGTGATTAGTTATAGGAAGACACATACAACTATATAGTTCAGGTTTCATCAAAATATTTTTGAATTGGAGTATGACAGTTTTAATCTTTCTAATTTTTGTTGTTCTTGTTGAATTATGGAAGTATTTTTCTGCCATTCCAAATAATCTAYATTAATGCAGCTTGCTTATTGTTACAGGAAATAAACACTTTGACTAATTAGAGAAGGAAGCAATTTAAAAGGTTACTATACTGAACTTTATGCTCTGCATTTATACCTACTAATTCTGTTAGGAAAACTGTAAATAAATAGAGGCTTATATGGTTTACAATTAGGAAAATATATTAAAAATCACTCTCAAGAACACTGAAAACAATAGTTCTTACCTAAAACTGAAAAGCAATTAGTGTATTTTTATACTTCAAAGACAGTGAGGGATGAATTTGTGTGTATTTTACATTATCAGAATTCTTTATCTTCTCTTGTTTCCATAGAATAGAGACAAGACTGGGTTGGAAGAGTCACTCAAGAAAAAAAAAAGATGTTCCTAAGGAACTCTATTCTACATACAAAAGCATTTTAAATGTGTCACATACAAAATGTTAAAAGAAATGGTCTCTGAAAAGTTTCTTTCTTCTCTTTTTCCTTTATAGTGGTTACCTGGCTTTTCTGAAAATTCCATTTCTTATTACAAAATTGAGTTGCATAAAGACTATCCCAAACTGAAACAGAATCCCTAATTATGAGCAATAGCGTGTTAATCGAATGCCAAGGGCATATTAGACTTAAGCTTCCATGTGAGCAATGGAATTTCCATGATCACATCCAGCATCTCCCTCTCCCTACAAAGATCCAAAGACAAGGTCCATTGGTGGCACAAACTTAAGGGAGAGCCCTCCACCCTTCTCTGCACCTCTTGTCYTGGCAATTGAGCACAGAACAGCAACTACACATTAGTTCCCAAATGTTCATGAACTCCCCAAATTTCTGTTAAAGCTGGGAAAGGTAAGGGCAAAAAAAGTCTTTTTAAGCCTGAAATGGCTTTGATTCAAAAAACACAGACTAATCTGTAACCAGCAATTTCTAAGCATCTATAGTGGAGTACTTCTCCTTTTGTTGTCTTTAATGCTACTCAGTGCCACTGTTTATCATGTCTGATATAACCATTAATATTTTCAACCCACAAAACACACACACAAGCACAGTTTCACTGTCAGCATAAAACCCACAGGACTTCAYACAAACTTAAAGATTAGATGGCATTTTGCCTTTCTGAATAGGAAGGTGAACTATATGCCTGAGCTAAGTGAAAATCAAATTTAAAGACAAGGGATAAACTCCAGAACAGATCAAGCATATTGGTCTAAAATAGATGYGGGAAGAACATCCTTAGAGTTCCCAGACCCAATGTAACTTGTATTATCAGRCAATACAAGGGAAATGGAAGCAAGAGAACTCTGCATTTTCAAAAGCAGGCATTTTGAGCATAATGGATTGCTTCTAGTATGCAGTTCTGTAATGTAAAAATGGAGCACATTCAAGAATATATGTTCTACACTGTTTGTTTCAGTTCTTCAAATTCTGCATTACAAACTACTGAAGACTGTAATGAGGACTGACTTTTTATCCTTTTAAAAAACACCTGAATAAAGCATTTTAGGTGTTGCCCTCAACTCAAAATAATAATATAATTAATATAATAATATTATATAATATAATATATATAATAATAATAAATTATTTTTAGTATGCTACTTAAAATACAATCTTTAATATATAGTGATTTGTGGTATTAGAATATCAAGACTAATATATGAAACATAATCAGTCCTTATCTCACCTAAGACCTTGACATTATCCAATGATTGCTGATCCAGCTGCATTCCATTACTGTTTTCTTCTTCCCCAGAAGGCTCCTCGGTATTTACCAGTCTCGCTTTTTCTCCTGTTTTTTCATTGACCTTGAAGTCATCAGTTGATGCTTCTGTCGCTATGATTTCTGCACCAGCCACCATACCAGATATTCTCTCATCCTCTGGCTTGAGGATGCCAGAGGATGAAAAATCTAAAAATCCTTTAAGCTTTTTAGATCGAGATCTGGTGTGCTGGAAGCTGTTAAAAAAGATACTGCTGTCAGTGTAGAACGTCTGTCTTGGACAAGATAAAACATTTACCAATATATATGTTCCTTTCACCTGCTTAAAGTGGTAAAAAAATGACAAATGTTCATCTTTTTGTGCTGAGATAGTGTTTACAATTTATTAAGTGATAGATTAACAATTGATTGGATTTAACCTTTTAATCTTTTATCGCCATTCCATGGCAGACATTATCAAAGTGTAAAAGTAAAATAACCTTAAATAACTATTGCGTAAAGAACAACCAAAAGAGACAAACCCCTAAAAGAAGTAATGGAGACCAAACATTCTCAGTTGCACTAAAATTAGATGCTAATTCAAAACCTCGAAGCTAATAAAACACTTGTCTGAATATCCTTGTAAAATCAAGTCTGGTTTGATATTTTTGAGGGTTTTATATGCATTTTAACATTAAGGACAATAATATGAATAGAAGAAAATTCTGATTCTCAAAATATTTTAAACAGCTGTTATATTAAGCAATGCATCTATTTAAAAATAAAGTTGAAATAATGTCAAAGTTTTGCTACCTTTTCAGAACTAGGGGAGCAATGCCAAGACATGACAGTTGGTAGCATTTGAATAAAAAGTGTACCATAACTTATCTGCTCAGAACAAAAGTAACAGGAGATTGGAGTCTGTTTTCTATTTTCTAATCGTTCTAATTCAAAGAGTGGGCATGGTGGGATTCTCAACTACACAAATTCTCAACTACACATATCAGACTTAAGCTCTCTCTGACCCTAAACTTATGAAGTCTCCAGAAGTTGGCTTTGCTCTGAGTATCCGTCTTTGCTCTGTTGGAGCTCTATGCTTTTCCCATAATCAAAATGATCACATTTTCAACCAACATATTATAGTAGAAGGGAAAGTGGATAAACATATAATTATCCCTTTGCTTCATGCATTGTTGCTACAACTGAATAAAAGCCAAATCAGGAATTGAAGAATGTGTTTAACAGTTAAGTGCATAAAATCAGTTAATATGTTCCTATGATAAAACTTCTAATATAATTATTATGAAGTCTTTGCTTTTAATTATAACTATCTACCTAAATAAGTAACAGTTATGTTAAATGAAACATTGCTGCTCTAACTGTAAACTCAACCAATTATGTTACACAGTGTATACAGCAAAGCTTACTGCAGGGCAAAATTACATTCAAACAACCAACAATAAAACAACTCTGTGTCTAGGTTAGCATTACACATATATAGAATTTTCAAGTGAGTAAATCATGAAATACTTTCTGGAGATTTGATTTTTAAAAGGCAGATGTTTTGACAAACTTTATAAGAGGTTCTTAGAGGGAGTGCAGGGACTGATGGAGATCTAACAAGCTGGGAAGCAATGTGTTTAAGGCATAGTTCTAAGACAATACAGTATGGGAAAACCCTCCTTGTGGAAGCCTGAGGAACTAATGAATGGCCCTTCTGAGTCAAGCTTTCATAATTTAACAGCAGCATTCTTCCCCATCAATGCATTTATGTTATAGGGAATGCAACAAAGAAAGTATAAAATTTGTAACTGATAAAATCTCACAATCACTAAAAGCTTCAAGAACATTTTTAAAGTGACATCCATTCCCAGTAGTATCTTTCTTCTTGAAAATTCACTTCCCCTCTTTTCTCTGTCTTGAAACAGACCCTTCACCAAGGAGATTTCACAACATCTGGTAGGATTTGTTCAGAAGCAGTCGACCAGTTACAGGGCAGTAACTCCCCTTCATTACCACTTYGCTACTACTACAGCAGTACTCCCAATATCACCCTGAGTGCCTGCTGTTTCATTCTGGGGAACAATTTGCATGCTAAATTGTCTGTCTATAAATATAAAAAGAGTAGAAGTACAGCTAAAAAAAAAAGACTTTATTTTTATTAGTCACCTAGTTCCAGAAAGGATACAGACTTATTTTAAGGAAGACAACTTTGACGTCTCCAAAGACGTACGTGGAGGAATCCCCAGGCCAAGGTCCTAGAAGGAAAGGGGGTCCAGGAGAGTTGGCTAACATTCAGGCACCGCTTTCTCCAAGCTCAGGATCAGTGCATTCCTACAAGAAAGACCTCAAGAAAGGAGACCTGCATGGATGGACAAGCAGCTCTTGGGAAAACTTAAAGAGAAAAAGAGAGCATGCACAATGTGGAAGAAGGGTCAGATCACAGACCACATGGGAACAATATAGGCACATTGTCAGAGAATGCAGTGAGGAAGGCCAAGACCCATCTGGAATTAGAGTTAGCAAGAGATGTCAGGGAAAACAGGGAGGGGTTCCACAAACACATCAGCAGCAAGAGGAAGACTAGAGAAAACGTGGGCCTGCTGCTGAACAGGGATGGTGCCTTGGTGACAGAGGATGCAGAGAAGGGAGAGTTACTAAATGCCTTCTTTGCTTCTGTCTTTACTGCTGAGGCTTTTACCCATCAACTACAGAGCCCAGCGACAACAGAGAAAACTGAGGGCAAGGAGGACTTTCCCCTGGTTGAAGAGGACTGGGTTAGGGATTGTTCAGGGAAACTGGACACCCCTAAATCTATGGATCTGGATGGGATGCACCCAAAAGTGCTGAGGGACCTGGCGGGAGTTATTGCTCAGCCGCTCTCTTCAAGAGGTCGTGGAGAGCAGGGGAGGTGCCAGAAGATGGGAAGAAACCAACATCACTCCAGTCTTCCTAAAGAACAGGAGGGAGGAGCCGGGAAACTACAGGTCGGTCAGACTCACCTCTATCCCTGGAAAGCTGATGGAGCAGCTCATTATAAGAGAGCATCTCTAGGTATGTGAAGGAAAAGAAGGTGATCAGGAGTAGTCAGCATGGATTCATCAAGAGGAAGTCACGTCTGACGGACCTAATAGCCTTCTGTGATGGGATGACTGGCTGGATGGATGATGGGAGAGCCGTGGATGTGTCTGTCTTGACTTCAGCAAGGCTTTTGACACCATCTCCCATAACATCCTCATGGGGAAGCTCAGGGAGTGTGGGTTGGATGAGTGSACAGTGAGGTGGATCGAGAACTGGCTGGATGGCAGAGCCCACAGGGTGGTGATAAATGGGGCCRAGTCCAGTTGGAGGCCTGTGGCCAGTGGTGTCCCCAGGGGTTAGTGCTGGGCCCAGTGCTGTTCACCCTGTTCATCAATGACCTGGACGAGGGCATGGAGTGCACTCTGAGTAAGTCTGCAGATGACACCAAGCTGGGTGGAGTGGCCGACACTCCGGAGGGCTGCGCTGCCATCCAGAGGGACCTGGACAGGCTGGAGAGTTGGGCAGAGAGGAACCTCCTGAGATTCAACAAGGACAAGTGCAGGGTCCTGCCCCTGGGCAGGAATAACCCCASGCACCAGCACAGATTAGGGGYTGACCTGCTGGAGAGCAGCTCTGCAGAGAGGGACCTGRGAGTCCTGGTGGACACCAAGTTAGCCATGAGGCAGCAGTGCCCTCGTGGCCAAGAAGGCCAATGGGCTCCTGGCTGCATGAGGAGGATKTTGGCAGCAGGGGSAGGGAGGGGATCCTGCCCCCCTGCTCAGCTCTGGGGAGGCCAAACCTGGAGCATTGGGGGCAGTTCTGGGCTCTCCAGGACAGGAGGGATGTGGAGCTTCTMGAGAGGGTCCAGCGGAGAGCGACAAAGATGATTAAGGGACTGGAGCATCTCTCGTGTGAGGAGAGACTAAGACAGTTGGGCCTGCTTAGGCTGGAGAAAACTGAGRGGGATCTTAATGAATACGTACAAATTCCTGAAAGGAGAACGTAAGGAGATTGGGGCCAAACTCTTCTGGGTGGTGGCCAGTGATGGGACAAGATTTATTGGGTACAAATTGAAACATAGCAAGTTCCAACTCCATGTGAGGAAGAACTTCACTGTGAGGGTGACAGAGCCCTGGCACAGGCTGCCCAGAGAGGCTGTGGAGTCTCCTTCTCTGGAGAGGTCTTCCCAAACCGCCTGGATGCTGCCGTGTGCCCAGAGCACCTGCTMTGGGTGTCCCTCCTGGAGCAGGAAGGTGGGAATAAACAATCTCTAGAGGCCCCTTCCAACCTCAACCACTCTGTGGTTCTGTGAAACAGGCAGCAGACCAGGCTAAATACAGCCAAATGAAAGGAACAGGAAAAAATACCTAACAATACCTATTATAAAACAACATGAAGATACTAGMATTTATCTAATAAATAAATTGCCCGCTGTACCCTACAACAAGTAGATCCAAAAAAAAGGACTACTACCTAGAGCCTATCATTAAGCTAGATCCTTAACAGATAATGAAACATGCAACCAGTAGAGGTCCCAGTAAGCAAGAGCAAAAGAGAAAAGCRTTAATATTCAGGAAATACTTAGACAAAGCTAAAAAAAAAGATGAAACTATATTCTGTTAAAGAATAACAACTCAAAGCTTTGACAGCTTCAGAAACAGTTCCCCCCTTTTTTCCTAATTTTGTTAGGATGTCACTCTTAACAACTCTGATTAAGATTTTCTTCACATCAAATTTAAATTTTGATCTGTAACTGACCTGTGATATACAAAGAGCTTTTGGCAGCTGCAGTGTGAGTGTCTGCCAAGTAGTTAGTAATATCTCCTTGGAGCTAGAAGATAATGATGGCAAAGACTATTGCTAGAGACACCACAGAACTGCCACAACTTCATGGCATGTTTTTCAAATTTTAGAATAAGCTTTACTGCAACTTGCAGGGGAATTCTTTTGTCTTTGTTTACAGATGTCACTAGAAACAAAGACAACTATCCACACTTAGAAAATTCAAAAAAAAAAAAATATATCTTTACAATAGTAGGATCCTTAGTAGGATCATTTTCATGCTTACCATATCAACTTCAGTTATGCATATGTAGCTTTTAAGGTGAGTAATTTTTTTGCAGTCTGAAAATGGACTTGCTTGTCTCAGTGTTCTTAAGTAAGAAAATAGTAAAATAAACTTTAGATAAAGTAAATGAGTTCAAATGGAGCATCAGAGAAAGAGGCATAAAAAATGAAAAGGAAATTGATATTATATTTTAGACAACAAAATGATAAGGAAGCGTAAATACCATTTGGGCTCATCCTTTACTTTCTTTTTTCGCTGCAGCCAAGCCTTTACTTCAGGTGTTGATTCAGGAGTTGGTTTTGTATGATCAATGGTGTATAAATCCTTCCCTTGCTTCCACAGCTGGTATCTGTCTGGTTGGAACTTCCTCACAAAGATGTCCATTGATATTGTCACCATGTCTCTTCTGCAGGTGCACTGCAAGAGAAAGCAGACATTTGTAAGTCGCAAATTATAGAACAGGCTACAGTCTGAAATTAAAAATAAAAACAAAGATCCTGCATGTGAAAATCCACTCTGTCTTTAATCCAAATTGCCCTCATTTCCTCTCCTCTTTGCTGATGAGAGTTCAAGAGAAGATATCGTCTGTCGAAATACAGCATTCCAGAATTTTGCATTTTTGGATATGTCATYACTCAACTCTCACAGGTTAAGAGCATTAAAAAACAAACAAAAAGCTCTAAGGCTCTATACCATTTCTTTTAACTACATTATCTGTCCTTGAATATTTGAAGCACAAAATTATGTTGAACCGATGTGACAGAATTGCAGAATGTTTGGGGTTGGAAGGGACCTCTAGAGATCCTCTAGTCCAACCCCCTGCTCCAGCAGGGACACACACAGCATAAAGCACAAGGTCGCATCCAGGCAGGTTTGGAATATTTTCCCTTCAAACAAGACCTATATATATATATGTACATACACACACATACACACGCACAMAAAATAAAATCTTACATTATTTTGAATAATGTCTCTCATTCACAGCATCATTGATCAGTAACAAGGAACAACAGCAAAAAAGCTATGGAGACACTTCTGGATAGTARGAAGTAATGCAGACTTTCCATCATCTTAACTTTCATTTTTAAGAACAGAATTTGTAACATAAGGATAAGTGACATTGAATTATCTCCTCATTTACATGCAAAATCTTCTCAAGTTCAAGCCATATTGCTATACAGTGATGACAAATGGTTACATAAGTAACAATCTTTATGATAACTGTCTTTGCAGTTAGACATTGCAACTTCAAGGATCATGGAGAAGAACCATTCTTTAAACCAGCATGGATGTGTCAAAGGAACAAGTCCAGAAAGAAAAATACATTCTATACATACATTGATGAAATAATACAAAAAGATTCATAATAAACTATAAACTATACCTCAACAAGGCACAGAATTTCCTTCTTCTTGTAATTTCAAGTGACTTAGTAAGAGTGATCAGGTGCTAGTAATACTACTGAAATTTTAAAAAGTTACAATATTATAACAAACACATATACTTCTGAGTGAAAGGTAAAGGAGAAACAACACACTCAACACCTTGGCTTGCTTAAAAATACAGAAGATTAAGTTTCTTGTACAGGCTGGGAATATTTCAAAATAAAGACTGGAAACATTTAAAGGTATCTTATTACACAATTAAAGTAGATACATGCCGAAAACCACTTTGCTCATTTTCCCTAAAACATGCCAATAAAAAATATGCTGTTTTAATAAATGGTGGGGGCGTAGTATTCTTCATGGTGGTGATGTTTTTCACTTTTTTTTTCATTTCCCCGTTGACTGACTTACAGCTGACAATTACAGGTCTTCCTGCTTCTAACAGAAACATTATTGAAGGTCTCACATTTTGAGGCAAAACAGTATCATTCTGTTGAAGAGGCCTTTGGGGAGATATGCAAAAGTCTATGTGGCTTTCTAGTAAAATACTCAGACGAAGTTTTCATAGATCACAGTAATTTTAAACTCCTCACATTTTTAACAGCAAATTTAAAACAAAGTTGTCAGATAGTACAATCAAAAGCTGAGTAAAATCAGAAAATTAAAAGCCAGTTTTTAACAAAATGACAGAATGATCACCCACACCAAGAAATACACAAACATAATCTGTCCCAGATCTATCAGTGTTCACACCATCAGAGCAATTCCCACCCATAGCTCTCTCATGGGCAGACTCAATGGAAAATTACAAAATGAATAAGCCTAGAACATACTGGTGGAAACTGCAATAYATTGAAAAAGGTGAGTGAGTGCTACGTATAACAGACCACATAACACAAGCCTGGCTATGGATAAGCTACTGTTCACTGGGAACATACGATCTTTGCCTATAAAAATATCTGTAAAAAACAACCAAAGTTGTTGACAATCAAAATGCTTATGGGAACTACATCACAATTTTCTGATGTTATTATCATCAYCATCACCATCATCATCATTATTTTCATTTATTTTTTTTTTCCTAGTGTAAGGATACAGCTTATGTGGAAGTAATTCAAATAACATTTATTAGTAGCTGCAAGGCCTGTATCRTAATGAGTTGGAAAAAAAAAGAAAGAAAGTTGCGTTTACTTTAATTAATTGGTGTAACAAAGTGTGAGATAAATTTGTAACAACAGAAAAYTGCCTAGGAGATATATTCTCGTCCAAATGAATTTTTTCAGATATACCTTATTTGTGAAGAAACAATACACATTTTGTATTAATTTGGTTCTCAAAAAATAAAAAGGAAAACACCAAGTTTACAGAACTATGCATTTTAGATACATGCATTTGCACCTCTTAAAATAATGAGGTTTTCACTCACTATTTCATTTCCACTGAGGTAAAAGTAATCTTTTGACCTGAACTATTTTTACAGCAATGCTGACATCTATTTAAGAGCTGTTCTTAAATAATATTTTATAAATTAAGAATCTACCATTAATATTAAACTCTTTCACCAGAAAGAATCACTAGATTTTTCAATGAATATAAAAAAATAATAACTCTGTACAGTTTCGTATCTCACAACAGAAAGCGTACAGGCTGTTTTTATTTCTATTTGACTCTTAGGTAGGGAGGATAATTTCTCAGAGGAAATATGTTTTTTAGGGAACTTTTTTCTTTGCAGTGTCCCTCCTTTATGTAAATATTCCAGAAGAAAAAAACCACAGACACTTAAATCATGAGGTAGGTAAATCATTTACTGTAGGTAAAAATCTTTCTTTATAAACTTATGGGACAGGACATGAAAGAATAGCAGTCAAGAAATCTTGAGAAATTCTCTTTTGTGTAAATGAAGAATGGATATCTGGAAAATAYAGTAAAATTAGCAGAAGGAGGAAAGCAAAAGACTGGTAGTAGTCTTTATATGATACATAAATACAAAAAGGAGAAAAGATTCAAAAAGGATTCTCTGAAAATGATCTAGTCATTGTTAATGGATGTAACTCCCTACCTGTCTATAATGATTAGAGCCTCCTCTAYGGTAGAGAGGCAATGATACATTTACTCATGAGAGACACATAAAATATTATATTAAACATATTAATCCAACTTAGCAGCAAATACAGTTCTTAAAGGGTTTTGTCACTTACTGTAATCCGGTTTTCATTTAATACTCTAAAAAAACAAGTTTTAAAAATGTACAGGCACGTTTTAATAAACTTCGTTTTAAAGGTGCTACAACTGGATCTATTTCTTACAGACTACCTGCAGAACTAGTGCTTGATAGGTACTGTTTATAGAAGRGCGGAATTTAATAAATCATAGTAACAATAACTGTTCTTCACTACAGAATCAGGCAGTGATATATTTGCACAATGACCTTCTGGCAACTTGTAGGCACTGTTGCAGAAACCTTTGATATCAGCTATCCATCTGTGCAAGCTTCAATAAAGCAAGTGCTCTTTCCGTAAAAGTCAGAGCACACTCAGGTCCCTGACACAAGCAGTTACACACACACAAAAAAGGAAAGGATTGTAAGCAACACTCTTCTCAGAGTTTTGAAGAACACTCCCATACTGTTTTAAGTGCATACTAGGGCAAAATATATCCAATAAATTAGTTATTTGTGTTCAAATATGCATAAGCAAATATTCTGCGATATTTAAAATGCAGTCTAATATTTAAACAGTGCATTTCTAAAAATATATTTTTCTTGAATTCTATTTCCAATTTATTTTCCACTTACACAAAATGCCACCTGCACATCCCAATGCAAAAAGACTGCATTWAAAAAAAAAATAAAAAAAGTAAATGTAGACTTGATTCYTTCAATGCCAGGGGCCACCTCAAAAATGGCCATTTTTCCTCTAAAGTATCATTGAAATGCTGATAATGGAAACACTGGATGACAGGGACCAACTTAAAGAAATCTATTTTTTCATAAATATCCTGTCTCTCAACCCTCCTTTCCCTTTATCCTACCAGTACCCCTTTATTTATGCTCTTTCTTAGTTGGCATGACCCAAAGATCAATGAATTAAGTGGTGCACGTGAGAATACTGATAAAATCCGAAATCCAATCTGACATCAGTCTACACAGGAATGTCATTAAGGAACTCACTGAATAAGAGAAACATCATCTAAGGACAGTGAGAGCAGAGCCGAGGCTTTAAGCACACATAGGGTAATCTCACAGCACTTGAACTCTAAGTTTAGGTTGTCACGACAGAGTTACAGATAATAACAGATATCGAGGGCAGCACTCTCACTTTTCACATGTTGACATCTATTTGCCAGTAATTGTAAGAAAAAAAAGCAGGATTGTTGCAATAAATATTGCCACAGTGAGAAATGAATACCCCTGCCAACTCAAATGTAGGAAAATCCATTCTTCATCTAAAATTCTGTCCAAAATTCTTCTCTTCTTTTTGCTCAGATCCAGTTCTTCCATCCCTGACACCTACTCACAGAGGCCATTTGCCTAAAGTCTCTATCTCTCTGCTGAGTCTAATGAACTCATTCAGCCCTTGACTTGGCTTGGTTTGGCTACCCATTCCATGGATGTTATCTATATATTTGAACTGCATTTCCTGACATCCAGAAGATACAGAGTTTTGTTCCTTAGCTTAAATTATCTTGTAATGCTTTTTTTAAAAAAGGCATTAAAAATCACCAGGATTCCATCTCTGTAAAGTTAGAATTTAGCGTCAAGAAATTAATATCCATTGCAGTGAAGAAGCTGAACAGAATCAACCTATTTTAAAATGTCTCCTGAAGTGAAAAACAAATACCTCATTTATCAGTGTGTATATATACATATACATACACATATATATATATTCATACACTGAGTATTGTGTATCAGTACATACACATATAGATGTGTGTTTACGTACATATATTCACAGTAATGCAATCAGGTAAGTATAGCTATGTGCATTTTTTTTCATTACACTTTGTGTTTTACAAGGCTTGAAATCT